ATAATAATATTCTAAAATAATAATTAATAATAATAAATAATAAAATAATAAACTAATAATTAATTCGTTCTATAACACTATTATGAAAAAGTAAACAAATCGCTAAAAAAGAGGATAAGGAAAATAATATAATGTATTGTCATCACAGAAGTAAAATGTGTTCTCTTTTATCAGAAAATGATATAGATGATTATATATCTCAGTCAGCTTCAGAAATAGATAAAGATATTGAGGAAATGTTAAGAAGAGAATCAAATTGGCAATTAGTTTGAATAAAAAAATTATATATTGAAGCCTATACTTATCGAAGAAAAATAGGTGGATCATATATTTCGACTCCTAAAAAGTTTGCCAATACAAAATGCACCATCAATCCAGATAACTCTTAAACAGGTGATGACATGTGTTTAAAATATGCTTTAAGTGCATATTTTGCAAGCAATAGAGGTATAACTAAAAATTTATAATGTCTTTCTGTTCTTTAACTATATCAAAATATAGTCAATTTAGATGGAATTTCAATGCCTACACCAATTTGCTTACATATATTCAATAAGATTGAGGAGATGAATCCTGATATTTATATTAATATTTGGGAATGGAAAGAAGAAACAGCTACTCCCAAACCGGTAATAGCTAGCAAGAACTATAATAGACAACATATTATATATCTTATGGCTCTTACAGATATTACCAAATCAGAAGACTATAAGGATAAGTATGGGCAAAAGAACCATTTTCTTTGGATCAAAAACTCAGATGGATTAGTATTTAAAGATAATGGTAAACATATTAAAAAGCATCTTTGTAATCGATACTTTTATAGCTTCCAGTTAGAAAAGTCTCTAGCCTATCATCAAGACTATGTTTTGATTTAGGAGAGGCTACTCAAAGAGTCAAATTACCTATCAAAGGTGATAATGACTTTGAAAAGTTTAAAAACTATGAACGAATGATTAATGCTCCATGTGTTATTATAGCTGACTTTGAGGCAGATAATAAGAAATGTAATGAGAAATATGGAAGGCAAATGTGAAATCTTGCTAAACAAAAGGCCAATAGCTTTTGCTACTTGGTTCACTGGATCGATACTGGAGAGGTATGGGGCCCATTCCTATATAGAGAAGAAAATGCTACTCAGGAGTTTGTCAAAAGAATCGATAAGGAATTGGTTGAAATTAATAGAGTCTTAGCTATAAAACATGATCGAATTGAGACTGACAAAGACAAAAAGAAATTCAATGAAGCAAATAGTTGTTGGATATGCAAAGAAAAATTCATTATAGATGAAGATAAAGTCAAATGCTTAAAAAATAGAGCATCATGGCTTAATAATAAATTAAAAAATACTGCAAAGAATTTAAAAGATTATAAGACTTTAACAAAACAAATTCTCAAGATAACTAAAAATATTAATCAAGCAAAGTCTATAGACATAAAGGTTTGGGATTACTGTCATATTACAGGTAAGTTTCGAGGAGCTGCCCATAATACATGTAATTTTAAGCTTCAAATCGAACTTTGGAAAACTCCTATTCCAGTTGTCTTTCATAACTTTCGAGGCTATGATTCTCACTTAGTATATGAATTTGTTAGAAAATCAGTTAATGCTCATCAGATAAAAGTTATAGCCGAAACATTTGAGTGATACAAGTCTATAAAGATGAGTCAGCTTATTCCCAGCAAGTGTACTGGACGGATTGGTTATCCCGGCAAGTGTACCGGATGTATTAGTTATTATTAGTAGAGCACAACCATTACCGGCAAGATCCCGGATCCTAGGCATACCCAGAATTCTCTTTTATGGTTCATACTGCTAGTGAACTACATAACAAGCACATCCAAAGTTATTAGCAAGTAGACGTACTTCAATTAGGAAACCAGACTTATCTTGTCCCGAGTGTTATTCTCCTCAACATACTAGCCCTCGCTCACCCTTTGGACGATTTTGGAATTGGCATTCTACCAACTACACAGCCATTAGTTATACTTCCAAGACCCAAGAAAATTTTAATCTCCTTCTTAATCAACCTACTTCGCTTGGCCTTCGCCTTTATATTCGAGATATTATTTTCAGTTGTCGCTATTACCCAGAGTTACCAGATCCTAAAGATACTGCATTAGCTTTAATCCAAAGATATACTGCTCGTCTTTGACTACCTACCCTACCCTTTGAATACCAGAACATTTTTGACTTACACATTGACCATTCACAAAGTTTTGGTTCCGAAGAGCCAAGAAACTTTAGTCAATATTTTGGAAATTTAGGAAGTCCTATAGTAACACCCCTGGCCATCACTATAGTATAACTGTATTCACCCAGAAGATAGTTTACTTCTCTATAGTGAAGAAGTTACCACTAGTGAACCTTCTACTAGTGCTTATACCCCTAGTGCACCCCACCTTATCAATATTTAGACAATCACGTCTTTGACATAGAAGATTATACAACTGCATCTTTAGGAGCTACTGAGTTTCCAGATAATACTTCAAGTTCTTATTATTCTCAGCCAGAGTTTCCTCAGTTAGATTTATCCCAACAAGACTTACTTCCTTTTGTTGAAGAGCCCCTAGAGAATATCGAAGATTTAGAACCCTCAGAACCCTCAGAACTTTTAGACAATAATCCTAACGCTCACTACACTCCCCAGCTTCACCTCCTCCTATCTTAATCATAAATCAGCAACAGCAACAGCAACTGAATCAGCCACAACCACAGCAACAGCAACCGCAACAACAACAACAGCAAGCCCTAGGCCCTAACCAAGCTTTAATCTAGGCAGCCAATGCTATGACTACTCTCGCAACTGCATTAGGGCAAGGCAGTGAAAAGACTCTTCTACCAGTTAGTTCTTTCTTAGGAGATGGATCCCAAGACCCAGAAGAGTGGTTAGATGAATTTCGTCGAGCTGGCATTGCTAATAAATGGACAGCTGCACGAGGACTTGAGCTTGTACCAGTTTACCTTAAAGGAGTTGCTCTTGATTGGTACCAGAGCCTTAACCCTGCACCCAATGCTTTTGATGATCCTGGTAATGCTGGCCAAAGTTTCAAGCATCTTTTTCGAACTCGCTTCCACACCACCAAGCAGAAAGCTCTTTGGCAAAAGCAATTTTTCAAGATTAAACAAGGACCAGACACTGTAGACGCCTATATTAGCCATTTTAGAACATTAAAAAAAAGAGTTGATCCCACAAATGCTTTCCCAGTAGAATTTACTAAGCAGCTTTTTATACAAGAATTACGCCCTGAGCTTGCTATTAATGTTCAAGCTAGTGAGCCTGCTGATGTAGATGCTGCCATGGTTACCGCTAAACGATGGGAAACAGGATATATTATAGCTAATCAATCAGCATCAGAAACAGACCAAGCTATTAGACAATTAACAGACCAAATTGCTAAGCTTAGTATCAACTTAGCCCAACAACAGCAGCCACCTCAAGCCCAATTTACCAACTACGCTTCTACCTCTAGCACTAATACTTCCCAGAACCAAGAGCCTCGTTGTTGTCATTATTGTGAACGAACTGGATATCTTATAGCCAAATGTAGGATCAGACAAGCAGAGCAAAAATCTAGAGATGATCGAAGAGATGATAGAAGAGATAATTACAGAAAAGATGATTACAGAAGAGATGACTATAGAAGAGATGAACATAGAAGATCTTGTTCTCGTAGCCGTGATCGCTCTTATAAAAATTCTTCACGAAATAGAAGAAATTCTAGAGAAAATTCTCGATTAAGAAGCAGATATTCAGACTCCTATAATAATGATAATAGAAGAACTAGCTTCTGCTCTCCCTCATCTTATCGTAGAGACATTAACTACCTTGATCATAACAGTACTCCACCTTCAGCCTCCCCAGTTCCTTCTATTAACAAGCTCGAATACTCTATGCAATATGCTATCTTGTAAGTCAATTTCTGTTTTTTCTTGAGATTCAACAGATAATAATGCTTCAATA